GAATCAGGTCAGCACTCTTAGAAAGCGTCTTCTCAAATGTACATGATAAAAGAATTGTAACTCAATATAAAAAAGAAAGTTGTCACACTTTGGAGAATTTCAGAAGTTCAACATAACCCATGAAGAAAAGGAGTGTTGTTGTTGTTGTTTTTTTATAAATAATAATAAAATAATAATTTCAGAAGTTACACAAAAAATAATAATAATAAATGTATGAATAGTTATTCTGAGATAATTTGAAGACGATATTGCATTGGTAATTGATTGTTATTTAATGCAGACGGTCATGGGAATTTGACCAAATTTAAAAGTTGAAACATTAATTACACTAAGAGTAATGAACCACCTGGCTCACGCAAAAGTACTCTAGTCAACGATTTAGCGGTTGAACTAACAAGTTAAACGGACAATGTTTGCTTCTCTTTTTTGAGTTTGAGTCCTTGATCGGACTGAACAACAGACCGGTTGACGGTTTAATCGATTCAACCACCCAATCCGGTCTGTATTTCACAATCATGGTTAAAACCAAATCCTACGTTGTAATGTTTAATCAAATGACAATACCCAATGAATCTAAATATAAATGCATCGTTTGTTTTATATATAAAAAAAAAATTGCATTGTTTGTGTAAAACTGAATCAAGTGATGAAATAAATACCATTATAAAAAAAATTATTTATTAGAGAAACAGAGGTTAATTCTTTTTTTTTTTTTTTTTGGGGTAAGTTCTTAAGGTTTATTGGATTAATTTTTCTTACTCAAATATGTAAAATGATATTTGACAGATCTCCTCAACACGAACAAGGAAACCTTTCACCGGTTTACCCAAGTAATCGAATACGTTGTATTTCTGCCAAGTTGGCACTACAGTCGTGCAAAAAAGGGTTCCAGCGCTCAAGGCAATGCAGGAATTTGGCAAACAATACCAGCAAGAAGCCCAGTTCAAACTACACAACCCAAGAGAGGAGGTTTGCAAAGCTTCAAAATACTTCAGCCACTTTGCTTGCAAGAACCCGTTCACGCCGTTCCACGTATCCAAATGGAAACCAACCAGCCTTTCCCTTGCATTCTCCTTCGGCCCACCCATTGTTCGATATCTACAAAATGCCACAAAAACCAATTGGGTCAGGAAAGTATATTTGAACTCAACATGAAAGGAAGTTGAAACAAAAGGGAGAGCAGCTGCATATGTAAAAAGAGAACAAGCAAGCGTGACCAATCCTACAGCACCAACCAGATAGCAGCCCTGGCGCTACAGGCACAACTTAAAAAACTGCATTTAAGGAAGAACAATCTTACAGCAGCTATGGTGCTGCAACAGTGTATATAACCACTAACATTCATGTATGATATGAAAATGATGATGATGATAAAAAAAAAAAAAAAAAAACAAAATGGGGAAGGATACCAAACACGCAAGGAGACGTAAATTGGCAATGACAAATCGTGTATTACCTTTCTGACTACGACATAGTCACCAACCGACAATGATAACTCCACATCAGACTCGGCTTGGTACGGATGCACTACCTAAGTACAAATCATAATGGTCACCAAGACGAAATTATAAGAACCAAAAACAGTGTACTGACAATTTGGATATAAGAGTGCGATATCAAGAACACAACAATATTTACCTCTCCTAGGAAGTAACCCAAGGCGTCCATGGACCCATCATTTGATTGAGAAGCAAACACACCATTAAGTTCTCCATAAGAAGGTGGTGGCTGCATGGTATTTTCTGCAGCCGTTCTTGGTGGATCTTCATTACGTTGACGTTCTGACAACATCTGTAAATAAACAATCGACAGATAAGTGAATATCCATCATGACATGATACACATACCACTAGACAAAATGGTTTATGTTGTCTTAAGATATAAAATGCAGTGGATAGAAAACAAAAAAAAATACCTCAGCTTCTAGTTGATCAAGTATCTGTAGAATTCGCTGATGATAATAGCGCTCTGCCTCGACCTTCATTAGAACAAAATTACAAGTTTCCTATGCCAATAAACTAATACCTGAAGTAAAATGGTGTTTGGCTTACTGCAAAAAAGGCAAAGAGATAGCATTACCATTGTTATAAGTCGCTGGAGCGTCAATCTCTGTTGTTGCGCTTCCACAGCAGCCATCGCAGCAGCAGCTTCTTTGCCCAATTTAGCCATATTTGACTTGAGCTCTTCAAGCTTCGTTTCTGCAGCTTCCAGCTTTGCTACATAATCAGGATGACCATTTGACTCCCTCACTTTAGCTTGGCGTCTGGAAACCTCAATAGCCTGCTTGGGTCCAAAAATGAATGTAATCCTGGCAAAAAGGATAATATGGAAACAGGGTCCTATGCGGTTCCACAATATAGTTGCTTGGTGCATTACATTACTCAATTCTCTTGATAATGACTAGCTGCGATTAAGTTACTTTATAAATTCCTGGAAGTCATTCTTTCCAATTGTATGCACACAAGTGGTAAGAACATCCACGAAGCTAGATTTGGTGGAGAACTAAATCAACCAAATAGGCAACAATAAGGAGGCGAGTCTGAATCTAATTTTGTGTTACCTGAGCTTCCACTTCTTGTCTCACTCTGTCATAACGTTGCGCAAGCTGCCGAGCATCCTCTAGTGGAGCACCGACAACCATGGCTCTCAATGGCTCAGCAACCTGGATAGAAAAATCCATTACAAATAGATGAACTACTAGTAAGGTAAAGAGTTATCATTGCTACTGTAAAGAAAGCAATGCCACATTTAATCTCAAAAAGGTCCCACTAAACAACCACTTAATGAGTTAAAAAAATCATCTCAAACCTGTGTGCCAAGTGCTTTCAACAGATGACCATGCTCCTTCTCGATTAGAGCACGAGCTCTACTGTAACTCAATGCAGCTTGAGATAACGTACTACCACAGGTACACGTGTTTTCAGCACCATACTTTCTACTATCTTCTGACAACTTAGTACCTGTAAGAGAAAGCGCACAATTTAGAGGATATATAACAAGATACCAATTGACCAGAGAAAAGGAAGAATGTTGGCTACTAACCGATCTCAACTTGCTTTGATCCAGTAACAATATAGCCCTCCACACCTCGAATAATATCCCTCTGAAAGTGCTGGTAAACAGGAAAAGACACATAGGTCAGGAAAAAATAAATAATTGAGCCATAAATGAACAGTACCAAAAAAATCAACCTTTCCAGCACGAGTAGAGATGTAAAGTTTCTCAAGTTTTTGATGCTGCTGCAGTTCTGTGTCATCATTTACGGCAGTTTCTGAACCCCCAAGTCCACCAGCAAACTGTTTGAGCACAGCCTGGAGCCAACTCATACAAGAAAATGCAAGGGAGAAATATTTATGAGCAAACTTTTGAAGAAATTAACAACTAGAAAACAATGCTAACAGAACAACTTCCAGTCGCACATTCAAAAAATAAAAGAAAAAAAGGAAAAACAAAACAGTAGAATTGGCACATTTCTTATCCACCATATGCATGCATATCAATTCACAAACACAGAGAAACTGGAAAAATAATCACTTCAATAGGACATAACCTCTTTCACCACTCACCAAAGGGGACCTGAGATATCAAGAGCTTTATTCCTCCACCTGACAACTTGTAATTAAGTACTAAAGGATATCTAATTATATTCGCTTACTCATCAAAGTAAAAACTCAACAGACTTGTTTCAACAAGTGCATGCTCATAAAGAATCCACATGAAGGAGCTTATAGGTGTAATGTATGCAACTCCATGAGTAGCAATAGTTTCCACCCAAAAAGAGTAGCAGAGCAAACGAAGATCCAAGGAACGCTAGGAGCAAGACAAATTATAATCCCGCAAATCAAATAAAGGGTCCTGTTCAAAAATTAAGGCGAACCAACCAATATTATAGCTCTAAAAAGATCAAGTTTTTCCTCCTTATACTACCACTGACAGATCATTAATACTCGTGAATTTGGTTTCGAGTCTAAAATGGAAGAGTAAAACACAACTCCAAATGCAATTACACAACGATATTAAGATAATACAAGGGCTGAAGATATTAGAAACAACCACTAGAATGAAGTCCAAAGCTTTCAATGTCACAAAAAAAAACTACAAAAAAAAAAAGAAGCCGAACCCCAAAATGAAAAGAAAAACAGAAAGGCCCTACCTAACCAGAAACAAGAATACCACCATCTTGACAGTGAAAGCATATAGTAGAAATCTATAGCTGGTAGGCATAATTTTAACCAAAAAAAAAATAAAAAGAATCAAATTAGGGCTTATGGGGCGTGGGGGCAGGGGTACCTGCTGTTGTTTGGCGACTTGTTCCCTGAGCTTGGTTGCCTGTTTCCTAATAGCTTCCATCTCACAGCACCCTCAAACCACAACCACCACCACCACCACCACCACCTTCCACATTAACTTTGGTGTTGTGTACATACTTTATACTACAAATTCCACGTAAATGCCAAGTAGAGAGAGAGAGAGAGAGAGTTTGAGCTATAGTGAGGGAAGACAAAAGTGGAGAGACAAAAGAAGGCTTGGGAGTTTGAAACGTGTCGGAACTCGGAACTGAGCTTTGAGCGATACCACCCACATTCGGACCTGGGAGGCTTTTGAATTTGTTTGGACTTCGGACTTGAGATTTTGCTTTAGTTAACGTTGTTTGACCTCTATCTACTTTCCCTTTTTCTTTTTCCTTTTTTTTTTTTGGGTCATTTTGGACCCTGAGCTGTTCCAATTATAATACTAGTAGTATTTGTCATGGTACTCAGTCACCAATGCAATGGTACTCTGCCTTTAGAACCAATAAAATTGTAGCTGTTTAATTATTTATTTAATTTCTGTGGACTGCGAAGATGACAAATAATTTAATTATATATATATTAGGGCCAATAGTCAAGAAACCTTGGCCCTTGGCCGTTTTTCTATCCCGAGTTAATATGAAACAATGCCAAAGATGAGTAATTTGCAAGCAAATTTGTAAAGTTGAATGCTTTTAACCCCAAAAGCTAGTGGCTAGGAGGTGTACATGACAATGGTCCCAAGAAGTCCGACTTCTTTTGATTTGGATCGAACCATGCGCCTCATCCTGTGCAACACTCTGTTTCTGTGGCCAACACAATGCTTCTGCCTCACTCATGAAGTGAGGTCGTGAGGTATAAAAGTATTGAACATCGACCCCAAAAGCCAATGAATCCTCTCCTGCCCGCATCAATCATGATAAGCTTCCAAAATAAAGTGCAGATGTTCTTAGAATGCATTCATTTGCCAGCATCTCTCTTTTTCTCTCTCAATGATCACTGCTTACGGGTAGTATTCTGCTTCCCTCTGAAAAGAATATCTTGCAGGCTTTAAAGCCGCCCCAAAATGCTTGGTCCTCTTTTGAATTTGTGGTCTCTTTATCGTGCTTCCCAATGATTTGAGCTTCATCCATACACAAGGATACTGCAGATTGGACGTTCCTAAAATGGAGAACCATGGCAAGAGGCAGCACTGATATGTAAAGGAATTAACCAAACATTAATTAATTAAGCCACCACAAGTGTAGATGACACATTTGCCACCATGCAGATTGACAAATCTGAAACAATTCATAGCAGTAATACGACACATTTGCCACCATGCATGCAAAGCATTTTGTGAAGTAGTGCATCACAAAGTAAGTTGTAAAGCCAATAGTAGTGCATCAAATCCCTAGTTTATAGAAGTATATTTCTTTCATTTTCTCTAAAAGTGTGCAAGTATGTTTGTTGGCAGACAATACAAGGCAAGAATACGGATACAATACAATCAAGAACAACCAATGCAAAGTCAAGGAGCACAACCATTACACCAAGCAACTATAGTAGATGATAACTGCAACCTCATTTGGTTTGCTAAGAGCACATTGCGGACTAAAACTCGTATAGACACAACTTAAAACAGCCCTCGTTTCAAACTCATCTCAAAAAAGCAAATGTGGAGAAAATTAGAACCGAGAATAATCTAGCGTCTACAATGAGCCTTGCACATATTTTTGCAGTCATAGAAACAAGGTCCGCCACAATGAAGAGGACAATCCAGTCTCATGCCTTGACACCTTCCCTCCGTCGTGCATTGCGCAAATTCCCCTATCTTATAGTATTGGTTCGCAGGCACATTCTTCCTGTGTGCATGGCCTTGGTGCTCTCGCCCGTTGTACTTTTTTTGTGATCTCCTACATCCCCACCCCCACCAACCTCCCCCGCCCCCGCCCCATCCCCAGCCACCACCTCCTCCCATGGCACCCGCACCCCCACCACCACCAACAGTAGCTCCCCCTCCTCCACCTCCTCCTCCACCACCACCTCCATAATTTCGCTTTTCATTGTACTTGACGACAACATCGTTGTAAGTTTTGTTCATTCTGTATGCCTCTTGACCACTTCCTTGTGGAAGCTTAGCTGAAGTTTGTGAAGTCACACTGGTTTGAGCTAGAGTAGTGCTAATTCCATCTTGTTCCTCACCTCTTATTGATACCATCACAGTCAAAGCTAGGAATAAAAAAGCGCTCGAACCTTTTCTCGTCATCTCCATTAATGCTTTCACTACTATTACCCCTGAAAAGATGTTGTAAAACTCTTTTGTTGCTCTCCCGATTATATATAGGACAGGTACTAAAGTACACCGACTGCTAAATGGTAAGCCAACCTAACAAACGTTTACCAAATACTGCCCACCAACAAACAGTTAGAGACGGAGAGATGGCTTCATTTGAACTTTTGTCCCCACCTCTACAGACTACAATTGAAGCAGTTCACGCTTGGAACCGATTAGTGTGCTAACACAGGTTAATAAGGCAACTGGCACGCATGCGAACGTTCTGCAGGTTTCAGTACTCAGCTATCCCATCCTCAAAGGACCTCATAATTGTTGCCTGTCCTACATATTGGAAAGATACAAGGACATGAAATTTTTTAAAGCATAAAAGTACGTAGTTCTTGTTTACTGTAGAATGCAAGTAACTACAACTTTTTTGCATGTGGAAGAAGTATTCTTGTTGGGACCTTAGATGGTGGCTTCACATTGAATCTTGGATGGTGACAATCTTGAACTTGAAATATTCTTGTTGTATAGTAGCATGCTCATGATTGATGATACATAATACATTACGCTGTTGTTGGTTACTAACTTTTTATTTTTATTTTTTTAAAATCAGATGAGTGTATTGTAATCCAATCGAGAAATACATACTATTCCCTCACTGCACAGTGCACCCAGCGATCGTACGCTCAAGATGGAAGGAAGGATGCCAACTTGACCAAACGCCACCAGAAGCTTGCCATCAAACCAGTCCCACAATTTTTTCGGTAATGAAGTTCCTAAATTGTTTCAAAGCCTAAGCATGCAATTCTGCGAGTAACCGACTCTCCAATTCCAGCTTGAGATTTGCATTTACCGCTGTTAAAGCTGTTTTGATGGTTCTCCTACTTTTCGCTCAAAGCCCCTTCTCCAAAGAGTGAATTGGAAACGGAAGCTCTACGCATGCTTGCTTTATGCGGAACGCCATTGCTGTCTTGAGGCATTTTCACTGCAACCGTAGAGCAATGCCGCTTTGTTAAGCACTCTAATGATAGAATTTTCCGGAGATTCAATGTTTAAAACTTCAATTTGCACCCTTAATTTGTACTAATTTATAGTAGTAATCTTTCCATACGGCTGTCATCACATGTTTCACAATCAAGAGTTATTTTTGCTACAATATCAACTGACAGAACCGAAATTAATTAGTTAACACAAGAACTTTCCCAAGTACCTACCACCGGGGCTGGCTTTGGCGTTCTACGTGAGTTTATATATAATAATCATTTATTTATTGGTCGAACCAAGATTTCAACCTTCTATTTGATATGAATTATAGCGGACCGTATGCAATAAATCCGTTGTAGTCTAGATGGTTAGGATACTCGGCTCTCACCCGAGAGACCCGGGTTCGAGTCCCGGCAACGGAATTTTTTCAATTATTATTTTTTTTTTAATTTTCCTTCCTCACTGACTAATTTCCAACGCGAGGTGCACGTGCTTCTGGTTTTGGCAAATTTTAGGGTTTTAGCCACCCAAAAAAATTCCGTCCATTGTCAAATCGTCTTTACTAGTTCCTTCTTCTTCTTTCACCTTTGCTTCGGCAGATTTTCATCTATGTATTATTTATTTTAATTCTTAATTATCTTCGCCTACTAAATTATCTATCAGTATGGGAAAAAATAAATTCATCGACAAGAAAAAATCGGCGACGTTCCAGTTACTCGCCCGGGATACTTCGGATGCGAACTACTCATCCGGACTCTCTAGTGACCGAGTTTTCGTGAGAGTCGACAATAATCAGTACAAAGTTGACGGCTTTTCTGAGGATGAGGAACCAGCAAACGACGGCGTTCCGTTTGATGACCCAAATTCAGTATTCGACGACGCGCCGGAGGACTATTACGAGTGCGGATACCCTGGGAATGGAGCTCGGACGGGGTCGTCGTTGCCGGACCATGTAAGGAGGGAGATACTTGAGCTAGGCTTTCTGGACGATGGATACAATTATCTGATGCATTTGAGGGAGATAAAGAATTCCGGCGGCGGTTCTGTTTATTATCAGAATCCCAAAGCTCAGCTTGGTCATCTTCCTCCCGATGTTAAGGTTTGTTAAGCTTGAGACTCTTCATCTTTATTTATACTATGTACAATATTAAGGATTTTAGCCTAAATAGGACTATATAGCTTAGAACTCGGCTTACATTTTGTTATATTGACAAATTTCTAGCCTTCATTGTGGCCAATTGTTAATCTTGCAGAGATAGTTATTACGCTTGTGTTCATTTAGATAATATTCTACTGAAGAGCTCAGAGTTCTGTGTCTGACCCAGCTGAGCTCAAGTTGATTTTGCGTCGGCTTGATTTAATTTGGTTTATGTATCCCTAGATTTCAAGATTTATGCTAATCGAGCAGACTGGACTACCTTCAAAAGTTAACATAAACTTAATTTGTTCGGGGAGGATTGAGTTTATCAGTCAATTTTAAATGTCCGCTTACTCAGTTTAGCTCAATGCTAATACCGTGTAGATAGGACAGAGAATAGTAGTAATTCGGTTTCTTTTGATTAGTAAATGAGTAAGGCATATGCTTATTGTGGATACAATTACCAAGAAGCATTGTTTCGAATTGACGTTGACTTCTAAGTGGTGATATTAATTGTGTGTTGTATGTGTTTTGTTCTGTCAGCCTCATATGTAATTTGTTTGTTGTAGGCCTATAATGCATCAAGGCTAGAAATTTCAAGAGTGGAGGATGAGTCCAATGAGAAGTCTATGTATGCTGTTGCATCCAAAACTCTAAATGCAAAAGTTGAGAAAGTGGCTGATGATGACATTGCAGCATTACTATATGACAGTGATTTGTCACAGTTTGGCTCTGATACAGAGGACTTGGAAGAGGACTTTGTGGTCAAAGCAAACCTTCTAGAAGGACCATCTGACCTGGAACTTGGTAAAAAGCTGAGATTGCTAGAGAACGCGCAGGTTAATAGGGTAGAAAGGAATGATTTGGTTGTCTCTGGTGCAGAGGAAACTGTCGCAGGATCTGTTACTGTTGAAAATGAGAAGCCAAGGGTTCGCCGTCCTTTAGATGAGCAGTTTGACTTGGTAAGAATTTTTTTTTAACATATTGACCTTTATTTCTTTCCTAATATTTTAGAACAAAAGCTTCAATTTTGTTTCACCAATCCTTAGTATGAGTCTAAGTATTCAGCATTGTTGCACTCGAATTTCTGTTCTTGTTAGAAAAGGGATGCAAACTTTGATAATGACAGAAAAACAGAAGTACAAACCATATAAAAAATTTTATAAAGAACGGAAACCAAAGCTGTCTGCCAAAATTGGGTATCTTATAGATTCAATCTCTCATATAGTGTCATTTGGTACAGCTTGAACTTCAGGAATATGGTGCAGACAGTGATGGTGATTATGGTGTTTATGATGACGCTGAAGAAGATGCTTGTGAAGAATCCCTCGCTGAGAAGCTTAATCATGCATTAAAAGGCCGTCATCTTGATGGCTTAAATAGTAAATATGCAGTTCCTTCTGATCTCTTGGAAGAGAAGAAGGAGTTGGAGGATCTGGAGTCACCAGAATCTGCTGCAGATGTCATCCAAAGGTGCAGAGAATATGCTGAAAAGTATGAAAATGAAAGTGAAGATGAAAAGGAGGTGGTTTTTCAGGAAAGTAGTGATGAATCAGAGGTTTGGGATTGCGAGACTATAGTTTCAACATATTCAAATCTTGATAATCACCCTGGGAAGATCGGAGCTCCAGAAACGAGAAAGAAGAAGCTAGCTGAAACCTTTGCTGCAACGTTGAGTTCTCCAGGACATATAATAGCTCTTAAAGGCAAACAGAAGCTTCCTGTAGACTTTTTGCCCACTAGAAAATCTTCTACAGATATGGTGAAGGATATGAATAGTCTGAGACCTGAGCAACCTCAGAGGAAACAACGTGGTCAAGAGACAAAGGAGGAAAAGAAAGAAAGAAAGGTATCTGTTATGCTGCTTACTTTTTTTTTTTTGGCTTGGACAATGATTGGTTTTGAAAGTGGAACCATTGCTTACACCAAATATTTTTGGTTGAACCTCTTTTTTCTCTTGACATTGTAGTTTTATTCTCAAGACAAGTACCATAAATATTTTCCAGAAGTGGTGCTCATGGGCTGAAAATTGATATTTGTGTCTTAATTAATCTGGCAATCTTCCATAATGTCCTAACTACTATTGAATTTACTTGATGTGTTGCTACGCGTCTTAAGTGTTTTCCTTTCAGGTTTGAGTGACATTTTTACAGTTTTTCCCCCCAAATTTTCCTATTGTCATTGATGTATAATGGTTACAGGCTGCTGTCAAAGAAGAACGACGTGAGGCACGTCGTGTGAAAAAAGAATTGAAGGGGGTTTACAAGTATGAAGCAAATCGTGCTCAGAAGGTTGCTGCTGTTGCTGGTCCATCTTTGGTTCATCTAATGTGAGTATGTATGATCTGATCATACTTCAAAGTTCAGTACACTGCACAGGAGTCCCTTGATATCTTGTGCTTTTCACCTATGCTGATTCATTATGGAACTTGCCTCACATTCATTGACGTATCTGAAATTTGTTGAGTCCAGCTGTTGTACTTAGGCTTAGTTCTCTGTAGTTTGAAATATCATCAAAATGCATTTTGCAACTGCGCATGTGTCCTTAGTATCAATGTGATGTTCATCATTGCAAGTGCAACTTTTTTGTTACAAAATTACATTTGGAATTTGAATCATATAATCTCCTGTCCCCAGTACAAGTTTTGGGTTAAAAGTCCTAGAGACCAATATTTTGCTAATCCAACCTTTATTTTGTCCCGTGCCTTTGGTGTTCATTTTGACTAATAATGCTTCTTTTAGGGAGTGCCTTGTTCTGTTGATTGATACTAATAACTAATCATCTGTGCTTTCTTTGATGTTTCCAATAGGTAATATGGTTTCGGATCATAGAAGACAATATGGTGCTTCACCAGGATGTTTCTGCTCTC